ATAAGAGTTCCCCCTAGCCAGTACCCGTCAAGCAACCCTATTCCATCCCCCTCTCCATCCTTGCAAATAATCGTTTCATGCCCCTTCCCCTACTTCAAAACAATTCCCCCGAAACCCTACAAGATACTTCACTTGACTATCTCTGACAAGAATAGGACAAATTCAGAAACAGGCAGCCCTAGAAACAGACAACCCGAACAATCCCGCCTCCATCATCGAAAGGAAGAACCTCATTCGTTCTCCCAAACTCCGTCCTCGTAAAGAGTCCAAAGAACCTCATCTCGCAAAGGGCAGGCACCATCATCAACCTGAAATTCCTTGCCCCCACAAGAATTTCAGTCTCCGTCCTCCAGGGGATAAAACAACACTACCCAACGCCAATCGCGCCAAGGCTTACCCTCATCAGCCGGTACCCATTGGAAAGCCTAAACTACCCAACGCCAATCGCATCTGATAAGAGCTCCCCCCGACCGGTACCCGTTAGAAAGCCCTATTCCATCCCCTCTCTATCCTTGCGAAGAATCATTTGATGCCCTTTGCCCCCTACTTCAAAACAAAATCCCCCAAGACTCTACAAGATGCTCCACTTCACCATCCCATGGGGCCCGTGTTCAAATTTCCGACAAAACTCTGACGAAAAGTAGGTCAAATTCTGATCAAAATTAAAAAAAACAAAAATATCTCGCCACAATGACCTTAGAAAATCAACGACGAGTTGAATCCAACTTAGGAAATTGATTGGTATATAAGATTGAAAAATGCATCAACAATGATAGTAGTAAAAGGACTTTAGATTACGGGTGCATGAAGATCCCCGCGAATTTCAGATTATGTCTGAGATTACCTAGTAAGAAAATGACTTCAGTGGTGTGGCTGATAACCCACACGGCCCCCCTAGATGCGACAACGTTGTTTATCAGAGGTATGGATGTGGATGTGAGATGTGTAGGATGCCATTTGCAACCAGAAGATGCAACACACCTCAGAGGGGTACCTGTCCCCTTTCATTCCGTATATGGAAATGGTGGGCTCATCATTGGAAGGCGATGGGAGGCCCAGAGGAAGTGGAATGGGATCTGGAGTGGGCAATAACGGGGCAGCTCCGACATCCGCTGACAAGTGGGAAAGGGTGGGGCTATGTAGCGACTGCAATCCGGTCATTGGCAATCTGGTGGATTTGGAAAGAGAGAAATTCTGTTCTATTTCTTTTTTTTTTTTTTTTTTTTTTTTTTGGAGAACCGTTTAAACTTTTATTACCAACCAAGAGCAGGACCGGGGCCGGGAAACCCCACAAAAACCCGAGAGTAAAACTGGGCCAGTACCCAGCAACAGCACCTGGAAAGCGGGTCCAGTGTCCCTTGGAAACGAAATAAGAGTCCTCCAAAATGAAAAAAAAGGGTGTACCCAGACACAAACTCATAAATCCCACCTACACGCTCTAACCACAGTCAACCTGGTTAAAGAAGACTCTAAGAAGGGGAGCTAAGCGCTCCCCATGACCTGAAGGTTGAAGCAACCACTGACAAAACTGAAGCCTATTCCCAGAGTCTAATTTAACCAAAATTGAATCCCTCCCCCACGTAGCCCAAAACCAAGTCCTTGACTTTGGTGTGCCTGGTACCTTGTGTCTGTAACAATCACTTCTGATCAGCAGTCTGATTTGTTGAGCAACTAGAGCTTTCATCTTAGGATCCGAGATCCCTTCCGACATGAATAGTTGATTGTTTCGGTTATCCCAAATAAGCTTCATTAAGATAGCTCTCATGTTTTGAGCCACACACAACCAGGCTTTCTCCTCTTTACATTCAGCTCTGTGTATCCCTGAAAGAATCCATTCATCCGGCCACGTGAAAGCTCCCTTTGTAAAGCAGTCCCAATGACGAATCCACCAATCCCATATTCTTCTTGAGACGGGCCAAGTAAGCCACAGATGTCTGTTATTCTCGCAAGGTCACCTGCACCTAGCACACACCGTGGAGATCTTCATGCCTTTTGAAACTAGGCTCATAGCTGAAGAGGCCGCTAAATAGGTCTGTAGCCAGGTTATACTGGCCAATTTCTGAGATGGCATCTCCTTGAACTGATTCCATAAGGAAGAGAGCTGCTCTTCAGATATCATAAGCAAGTCGGCATCCGCCCTCCGTTTGGTTACCGATGCCATTGGAGTCTTCACAACCCTCGATCTGAGGATGGCTACTCCTGTCCTGGCTGTGTAATCAGCCACACTGACTTGCTTCCCACCCCGTTCCATGGACCAGCCTACCGCTCTTGTATCCACAGCAGCTTTGGCCAGATGCAGCCCTGAAGAGTGGTATGAAGGGCACACTCAGACATATGATCACCGTGGATTGGAAGAACAAAGTTCTGTCAGAGACAGATGAAGGGCGGCAGAGAGCGAGACTGTGGTTCCTTCTTTCGTGGGCCAAAAAGAACCCGTTGGTGGCTGTTTCGGCGACAACAGGGAGACTAGTGCTCTCTCCATGGCTGAGAGTAGATCAGTCAGGTGTAACAGCATCATCTGGGCCTGTTTCTTTCGGGGTCCGCAATAGGACCAAAGGGGCCGGTTGCCTTTGAGTGACTTGTCTGTCAGTGCTGTCTGTCTGTTTGCCAGGTTTGTCTGGCTGCGCGTTTTGCAGTTGCCTAAATTTTGTGTGCCAGGTTGGTCTGGCAGAGCAAACACGTTCCCTGATCCGCCCGGGTAGAATTGTGAGGTCCCCGGCCTCGTTCAATTTTATGATCAATAAACCCAA